ATGAAATCATCTTTTTGAAAAAATGTGGGTGAAAACCTTCATAAACTCTAAGATAGTCGGTAAGATGGATGCACTCCAAGGAGTTGCCACGTTCCCCAGAAGCAGCCATGGCGTGGGGCATCCTGAGGCTGGCGGCAGTCCCAAAGTCTGGAAGTATTTTACCCTGAAAGTATCAACTGCTAGCAATTTCTGAATCTGTTTTGCCTCTGCCCATGACAAGAATCAACTTGTTCCAAAATTCCACTAAATATGTTTCTTTTATGTTAAAACTTTGCTGTTTCTGGGAAAGCTAAAAGCTAGAATCTTTTACATATGTGGACGAAAGCTATATTTGAAACTTTTAGCCCTTTAACAGAATGAAGACTTTTTTTTTTTAAAGAACTTCCCCCTGCTGTAGTTTATTATATGAAAGTCATCCTGACTTTAAAAAATGTTAAAAGTAAACCTTGTTTCCCTATACAATTTAACTTAAAAGTTCAAGAAGGTTTTGCTTTTAGAAAGAAAAACAAGTGAAGCATTTAAATTAATTACAAGTTAAAAGAAAATTACTGAGGGGAATAGTGATGACTTCCATTTACAAATGATTTTTTTCTAGTCATCCTATCTATAAATACATAGGTTGTGTGTGTGTGTGTATATATGTGTACATATTTAAATTGATAATCATGGCATCACTTTAAAGTAAAAAATACTTAAAATGTCACAAGATTAAACCCTGATTTCTGAGGCTTCTCTTCAAATGTGAAACTTTCGGGGCCATCTTTATTTAATCCCCTGTGAAGCCACACTACCTACCTGCACGTCAGCCTCACACAACGAAGACAAAGAGTTTGAAATCCAGGACAACAAAGATAACAAACCATGATATTCCAACACACCTGCCTCAGTTAGAGAAAAAGTGGACAAAAGGTTATGAGAAAAATCCGTAAGTCCAGAAATAAACAGAACGTATAGCACATGGCCTAACTGACAACAAAGTTAATGTTTTAGTAAGTATCACTTTCCTTTGAAATCATGTCACTTACTTTATACCAAGATGTCTGAGTCTCAGCATTACTGACATTTTGGGCCCCAGAGAATCATGCTGTGGCTGCCCTGTGCCTGGCAGGATGGGGAGCAGCCTCCACCCACTCGGTGCCAGTAGAATCCTCATCTCTAGTCAAGACCGACTCCAGACATCGCCAAATGTCCCCAAGGGGCAAAAGTGCACCCAGCTGGAACCACTGCTTGA